CCCACCAAGGCGGCTTCCCCTTTGCTGTTGAGTTGGCCTACCCAGGCCCTCCAGCCTTGGTGCATGGGTTTTGCCAGGTTTTTCCAGATTCCAAGATGTAGCTTCTATTCCACACTGCTTCCCAGGTGAGACAGTGAGGCCTCGGTGCTCTCTGTTTTCAGCTACGGGAGTTCAACATCTGTGGGCGCTGCCAGGTGGCCCGATACTGTGGTTCCCAGTGCCAGCAGAAGGACTGGCCAGCCCACAAGAAGCACTGTCGGGAGAGGAAGCGTCCCTTCCAGCATGAGCTCGAGCCGGAGCGGTGACTGGCGCTGCCGTCTGCTTGCGGCTTCTGGGCTCTTTCTTGGGCACAGTGGAGACTACTGATGGTTGAACCTGGAGATGTCAGAGAAGCCAGTTTCAGGCCCAGAACAGCCGCCACGAGACTCCCGCTGTCGTGCAGTCCACGGGGACAGCGCCTGCTCCAGTGTTAATCTCTAGCAGAGACAACCCGGGAGGCTCCTGCCAGGACATTTTTCATTATTTATATGTTAATATGTTTGTAAACTCATGTACAGTTTTTTTGGGGGGAGGCAGTGGGAGGGGTAGAAATTACCAATAGAATCATTTGCTGTAATCCTTAAATGGTGAACAGTCAGGCCACATGTCTAGAACTGTCATGTAGCCAGAGCTGCTCTCCTGGGTGGCAGGACCCCATGGAGCGTAGCCTGCCTGGGAGTTGTGTCCAAAAAGGGCAGAGTAAAGGGTGGAACCATCTCATGTCTCAGTTTTCTGTGCTGTGCTTCACTCCTTGTGTGGTTTAGGATCAGTTGTACTTTTGAGTGGGACCAAGGAGTTAGGGCAGATGTAGGGCAGGAGGCTGGCTTCCAGCTCTTCTGAGGAGCAGAGCATGTTGGAATGCTGCAGAGTCTGGCCGGGAGCATGCATGAGACTCAGACCTGCTCTCGTCCTGTTGCAGGACTGAGTGCTGGAGGTGTTCAAGGAGGGCAGCCACTGCTTTCGGTGTGGGATGCTCTAGGCCTCAACCTTGGTGAATATCACCATGATTTATGCATGAGTGGTGGAGGTTCCACAGCAAGACATTCTGCCCAATGCTGCCTCTGTCCCACCTGCTTCTGTCCTACCTGTTAGTTGGAGCACATGGTGGGAGAGTGCTGGGCAGCCAGGATAGCCCCTCCTCCCTTTGGGAAACTTCTGTCCATGTAGGGCCACCTCTGGGGAAACAGGCCAGGCTGTGTCACTGGGATCTGACCTGTCTTCGAGGTCCAACCAGCCATCCTGCCCAGAGGCCTTGCTTCCTGGGAGCGGGGTATCTGGCCATCCAACTCTGACCTGGCCCTGTCTCAGTCCTGCAGGTTCTCACCATGCTTTTCCCTCTTGCAGCTTTTCTGCCACAGCTGAGAAGTGGCCAGGCATAGCCCTCTGGTGGTCATTGGTCTCTAGTAGCTTCTGTTATAGTTCCCTGGAAGGAAGGGGGTACCTCCTGGAAGAAAGAATACTGAAAACAGGTGATCCCTGAGGGGTTTTCTGGAGCTTAGAGAACTTGTGCTCACCTTACACTTGAAACAAGAAGCCTCCTTCTTCTACTGTGAGGGTCAGGGTTGTATTTTGCTGGGTAAGTGAAAGCTATTAGGGAAGGGGGATGTGTGTTTCCCAAGAGATGGCTCAAGCCCTCAAGAGTGTTGACAGGGTAGGGGTGACCTTCGTGCTTCCAGAGTCCAGCTGTGGCCAGGACTGTCAGCATGTTGGGGTTGTGGATACCCTCAGGTGATCTTCGTTCAGACAAGCTCTGCAGGCTGTCTCTGCCTGTGTCCCTAGGGGAATGGCCGTATTGGCACTTGGGTCTGTCCAAGTCTGCTGACCAGCAGGGGCTGCCTTGTTCTGCAGTGGGTCTTCCATTGCAAAATTGTGTTAAAAGAGGTGCCCAAGGTCTTTTGACTAGGTTGTAAAAGGCTGGGCTGGAGAAGGTATTGCAGGTCTGAGGTTTGTCCCTGGGGACTTAGGAAGCGTCTTTCCTTTTCTTGTTGTTCACTTTGCCCCCGACACAGATGACCCCTTGAAGGTGAGGTGGGATCCATGATGGCCTTTATTCTTTCTTTCTTTCTTTCTTTTTTTTTTTTTT